CTTCTCAGCAGAACCCTTCTTTTTTCGCCATGCTTGCCAGCCACTTTGACCACTTTGACCCGATCGCTGCTTGCCCTTCTTTGCTTTCATCGCTTTCATCGCTTTCATTGCCCTCACATTGCCGTCTTTGTGTTGGACCTTGGCCGCCTTCATTGCTTTCATGGCTTTCATTGCCCTCGTGTTGCCATCCTGCTTGGCGGCCTTCTTGGCCTTCATGGCCTTCATGGCTTTTCATGGCTTTCATCTACTATGTAGGTAAGCTCTGCAGTTGATGCCTTGAACCTGTGTCTGCGCCACAGGGTGTAGGTGCACTCGCCGGGCGCACATGTCAAACAGGCACTTATTGGTCTCACTGAATTTCGTTAATAATCCTAGTAAAGTTACTACACTGTTGGATATTATTCTGCTTGCGTTACGCATGCGCACGCCGGCCGTGCAAGTATATTTACAAATTCGATAATATTATTCTGCTTGCGACATTTTACGGATGTGTGCGCAGCGGGTCCTGCAGGCATACGCGCGACGGGCGCGCAGGAGTACGCGTGGCGGGCGGTAAACTGACGCAAAACCATAAATACCGAGTATTTCTTTTCGTCGGGAGGGCAGCTGTACATGTGAGTTGAATGCTTCATTGAAATGAACATTCAATTCATTCAATAGCATAATAATCATAATAATAATGCTTGCGACGGCGCGCGCCGAGTGCGCGCGCCTGGCGCGCGCCGTGCGCGCGCCGGGCGCGCGCACGGCGCGCAGGTCTATACGTGCCAAGTCTACGCGTGTAGTATATTTGCACTATTCCTTAATATTCTGCTTGCAACGGTGTGCACCAGGCATGCTCTCGGGGCGCGCGCCGGGCGCGCGCCGGGTGCGGGCCGGCGCGCGCGCCGGGCGGCGGCCGGCGCGCGCGCGCTGTGCGCGCGCCCGGCGCGCGCCCGGCACGCGTCCGGCGCGCGCCGGGCACACAGGTGTATACGTAGCAAGTGTACGCGTGTAGTATATTTGCACTATTCCATAATATTCTGCTTGCAACGGTGCGCGCCGGGCGCGCGCGCCCGGCGCGCGCCCGGCGCGCGCGCCGGGCGCCGGGCGCGCGCGCCGGGCGCGCGCGCTGGGCGCGCGGGCGGGCGCGTGCCGCACGTACAGGCGTACGCGCGAAGTGTAAGCGTGTACTATACTATATTTACACTATTCCATAATATTATGCTTGCAACAGAATTTACACATGTGCGCGCAGCGGGTTGCGACGGGCGCGCAGGAATGACATGTGGCGGTCGTTTATTACCACCCAAAACCAAATATACCCAGGGTGCGCGCGCCGGGTGTGCAGCGGGCGCGCGCCGGGCGCGCAGCGGGTGCACGCCGGGCGTGCCGGACGTGATAATACAATTCTTTAGTCTGTTTGCAACGTGCACAGGTCTGCGCGCCGGGAGTTGAGGCGAACGCGCTCCGGGCGCACAGGCGTACGCGTGCCGGGCGCGCAATCTTGTAGTGGTACCGGCCGGATGTTTAGGGTTTAGGGTTTATGCAAACATGAGCAGCCGGACGAGCCTCCAAACACAATGTCGATCTTGCCAGCGAATTTGGCATGAAGAAGGCTTGACCTCAGGTCGACGAGTTCAGGGTTTAGGTCCAGCAATTTAGTAAGGCGCGTCAAGCAATTTGTTAAGCAAGTGACACGTTTTTTCTCGCCATTGCTGGTTTATTGTGAGACTGTGTATCCGTACATCAGTCCCTTTAAGTTTTTCGGAGACTGCGTATACGTACAGTCCGTCTATACGTTCAGGACTCTTCCATGCCTGCGAAGCAGAAACCAAAGCTGATCTCTGTACGTGTCCCGCATGCCCAGCAACACCATTGACAGGAATCTCACAGCGAACAGTGGACGGATGACCTCGCAGTATTGAACTGCCATCCGTCTAGCATCCGTCACTGGAATCCGTTCAAACTCAAACGAGTTGGCCAGAATGCCCTCGCAAAGCCTTTCCATGGTTCCTCGATCAGGCAAATCCCAATCCCAGCCGGGAGGCTGCTCAACCAAGCCCCGCAATCTCTCTGCATCTACCGGGTTCACTTCCATTCGCAACTTTCCTTGGAGTACGTCGCATTGTCGAACCATGCGTACTTTCTGCATTGTTGGAATCCGTTCCTGTAAACCTGCTTCCACAATATCACCTGCAGAGGATCCGCGTCTGTTGTGCTTGGTTTGGAAGTGCTGTAGCAAACTTCGTAGTTGCCGATCGCTCAAAAAAGCCCGCTCCATTTGCCATCCCATTGACAAGTTCATCATGACACATCCCAGCACCAGGTCGGTGCAGATTCGCTGGAATTCTTCTCTCGTAAACATGTTTCTTTCCATTTCCGTAGTGGCATCGGCCGCGGAACCATCGCTATCATCCGAATGATAAGGAGTCGTTCGATCGTCATCGTCACTTCCTTCAGGTCCATGAAGCCTGCCAAAATCCGTTCGATCCATTGCTGCACTTCCGTGGCAGTACGTCGAACTGGGGCACTTCTTTCCTAGTCGTGTCTTTGACGATCTGCGTGTATGCGCATGTCAATAATACTGCCTTGTTTGCATGAGGACAATCGCCTCAGTCGGAGTACACTCGCTCAGACAAAAACGGTTCGATCGCGTTGAATCTTGAGCTGAAAAGCTGCTGCAGTTCAACATGTTGAGCTTGGAAGCAACCCATGGTGCAGCCGTCAAGTCTTGGAAGGCCGTGTGGCTTAGGCCGGGGCTCTTCGAGGATCTCGATGCGCAGACTGTCTCAGCCTGGCCGCCGACAGACTGAAAGTGAGCAGAGGGATACTGATGCCATGCATGACTTTCCTTCTCTTCCTTCCCTTCCCGCCTCCCTCACATCACTCCTTGCTGCCTGCTCATTCCTCGCATCTACAGTCACACCCTCATCTTGATCATTCCTTCTTCCTTCCCTGCTTCCTTCCTTCCTTGCTTCCTTCCTTGCTTCGTTAATTATTTTCGCTGTGTCTCTCTCTCTCTCCCTCTCTCTCTCTCTGCATCAGTCTTTGAGGGTCCGGCTCACCCCTGCTCGGGGTTCATCCTCACCCCTGTTCGCGGTTCATCCACACCCCTGCATGGGGTTCTCACGACCCCTGTTCGGGGTCCAGGCTCACCCCTTTTCGGGGTTCATCGGTACGCCCCTGTGCGGGGCTCTAACGACCCCTGTTCGGGGTCCAAGCTCACCCCTGTTCGGGGTTCATCCACACCCCTGCACGGGGTTCTCACGACCCCTGTTCGGGGTCCAGGCTCACCCCTTTTCGGGGTTCATCCCGCAGCCCTTTCGGCCTTGGTGCGGGTACGCCCCTGTACGGGGCTCCGACGACCCCTCTTCGGGGTCCAAGCTCACCCCTATTCGGGGTTCATCCCGCGGCCCATTCAGGCCTTGGCGCGGGTACGCCCCTGTACGGGGCTCCGAAGACCTTGATGTGGCCACCTGACATCCTGACAGGGCCTGCACGAATGCCTACAACTACTTTTGCCTGCTACCTTTTAGGGTTGAAGGTTAGTTTAGGGTTTCGGGTTTTGGATTTAGGGTTCAGGGTTTAGGGGTTAGGGGTTTAGGGGTTTTAAACCTCTTTCCTCATAATGCCTCCTTACCTACATGCCCGCCTACCTAGCTATCTATCTACCTACCTACCGACCTGGAAGCCTGCCGACGCACCTACACCTACAAGTACCTTCCCTCCTGCCTATCTACTTATCCATACCTACTTGCCTACCTAACTATACCTCTCTACCTACCTGTGTGCCCCTTCCTACCTGCAGCTTCTGGGCTTGAATGGGTGGGCGGGTTTAGGGGTTGGGTGGGTTTAGAGTTTAGGGTTCAGGGTTTAGGGCATGGGCTGGACGTTACGAAAGTTCAGATTCCCTTCATGTTTAATCATGAACATGCTAATTTTCAAGTTGTTCTGAATCGTACAAACAGCTGACTTTAGGGTTTCAGAACACAAAATCTCAAGCTTTTTGTTTCCGTTGAGCCACAAGAACACCAAGTTACATTTGTTTGGTTTGTTCGGCATAAACGTATTTTCATTTTTTTGGCAACTTTAATTTCCATGTGAACTACAAAACTTGGGACAGGCAATTATATCAGTAGGGCTTTGATTTTTCGATGTATATGTTTCACATTTCGATCAAACCAAGTTTCAGGCATTGATTTTTCTATCGAGCCACAAGCACACATCTTTTTATACATGTCCAGCATCTCGCTTCTTCCATATAGAGCGACAAGAACACAGTTTTTCAGGTATGCATCTCCATTTGGAAGAGACCAAGTTTTCAGGTCTTGTTTTCCATTGAGCCGCAAGAACACAAGTTTTCACATGTCCAGCATGTCTTCCATTGAGCCACAAGAACACATGTCTTGCTACATTCCATGTCACATCAACATCATAAGTCCTAGGACAAGAACACACTAAGTCCTAGGACCCGGTTCCATAATGGAAAGGACCCGGTTAGCCCCGGACTGGCATACATACTCCACGGCGTTCTGCGAGGTGCATGCCTTACATCTGTGAAACCGAAGATCTAAGGTAACCGTAAAAAATCATAGGGGCCAGAAAGACAGGGAATTTTCAGACCCACCTAACCACGGAGAATTTCAGAGTTCCAGAACCTGGAACCCCAAAGCACTTTAATGCGCGAAGTGCACCGGGAATCTTGAGTAGGACTGGGACCTCAGGAGGAGCAGGAGCTTGCAGCTATAAAAAATGTTCGTACACGTATATACTGTCATGGAGCCATGATTTCACATGTTGGTGTCCGTTGTGTCGCTACAAACCAGCAGCAGCACGAATTGAGATCATTGCTGGAGTCTAGATTCATAGAGTCTAGAGAGGCCGGACTAGATTCATTGATTTTGCGTGTGCTTACCGGACCTATAGTCGCTAGAAGCGGTGCATGACTTGCATTGGAGGCTGCCTTCGCAACAGTTGAGCACTTGTTGACGGCCGCCGCGGGTGCCGAGCCTGCAGACATGTTGAAGTTTGCACGACCTTGTGAAAGCTTGGCCGCTCATTTGCCCGAGAAGAACGACGAGACAGCCATGAGTGCATTGGCGAACATTTTCATCAATGCGGCGAACCTACGTGTGGCGTCGACAGAGTTTGAGAAGCTCGGCAAGGACACTGCGGCCAAAATCGTTCACGACGGCTACAAGCTTGTGGAGCAGAAGATCATTGCGGCCAACCTTCGTGCAGAGCAGTGTTTGTCCGACTTCGCCTCCGAGTCCAAGTCCGACGCCATTTTTCAGGGACGTGCAGCGTCGCTGAGAGACGTGGCGATGCGGGGCATCAATAACTTGAAAGCCTTGCATGAAAGCGTGGCAAGCGGCATCGGGGAATGCAAACAGGTGCTCTTGAAGAATGCGGAGACCACGCTTCAGGAGAACCTCCTTCAGCTTGAGAAGTTTGCGTATGGCTGCTCGGATGGCAAAAAGTGGAAGAATGTCTTCCTGTCCGGTGAGGCGGAGCAGGCCGAGGGCGAGGAGGGTGCTTCAAATGTGATTGAAGCAGCAAAGCGGTGGGTGCAAGAGGTCTTCACCAAGGATGTGGAGCCCCAGATCGCCAACTTGTTCAAACCGGCCAAAGCCGCGTACCAGGCTATGCTGGCGGTCCTGGAGCGCTACAGTGTGTCCCAAGAGGAGTGGCCAAAGAATGTGGCCCATGCCAGGCTGATCTTGGCAAGCTCTATGGCAACCTCCGGCGAGGCGCTCCTTGTCAGAGCCATCATGGACCAAAATTATGTGCAGGAGACCAGCAGCCAGCTGAAACGCTTGGCCAACAACAAGTTCGCCGTGGAGCTTGATTACAAGCGTTTGCTTCATCCGAAGATTGTGGCAAAGGCCACGGAGTTGTCGCGGCAGTGAATGTGTCGTGTAGTGTAGCGGCGCCTAGTCCTAGTGACTTAGTGACGAGTGTAGTGTGTAGTGAAGTGTAGTCCGTCGGTGTAGTGACTCTTGCGAGGTGACATAGTGATGTAGTAGTGATGCAATGCTGTAGTGACCGTGGCCGCAACTCTGCATGTCCATCTCGTCTGCCGGTTCGAGTCTTTGAGTCTTGCAGAGGCAATGGCCCAGGCCAGCCTCCCATGCCAGCTCTGGTGACTTAGTGTGGCTGCGGCGATTCATGAATCAAGTCTGAGTCTTAGTCTTAAGTCTTAAGTCTTAGCCATCGTAGCTTTGCCCGAGTATATTGATTAAATTGCTCAGCCCCTAGGCCCTAGGCCCTAGTAGCCGCTAGCGTTGGCCGTCATATCTCACAATGCCGCTGTGCTGCTGCTATGCTCACCCTTAAGTTAAGCCTTAAGCCTCAAACCCTAGCCGAGCCCCAAGCCCTCTGCCTAAGCCCTAAGGCCTCAGGACATTGTTCTTGTTTGAGTCCAGCGCCGGAGCCGAACACTTAACATCCATCGGGTCGAGATGAAATCCATGGCCGACATTCCATACTGAGTAGACTTTTTTGCCAAGGGATCTTGAAAACGGGCTTGTTTCAAGCCGCAAGCCCAGTGGCCAGCCAGGCATGTGGAGCGAAGTGTCGGTCATTGCGGGTTTTTCCTGATTCCTTGGTCCTGGGACTTTGACTAGTGTTGCAACTTGAGTTAAGTCCAGTTAGGTCGGGTAGGTCCGGGTCGGGTAGGTCAGGTCGGCCTAGGTCCTACGCAGTAGGATGTGGCTCTGTGGGCCTGGGTATAGCATAGAGTCATAGAGTATACCTATAGTCTCCAGTGTTGTTCCTTTTTGGGGTTAACTTATGCCGTATGCCTTTTAGAATCTAGAATCCTGAATACAAAATTTGTTCAACCACAAAATGGAACTGCACTGGAGACTACAGGTCTACAGTTTACAGGTAGAGTCGGATCGGTATACGAGAAATGAACACGCATAGGGTCCGGGAATGGTGGGTGTGGTTTTAGCCGTAGGTAGGACTTCTGAATATGAAGCTTTAGGTCCCAGGTTTTTAACCCGGAGCCCCAGGACCCCGGCACGAGTCACTAGCACAGGCATCTCAGATCTCCCATTGTCGCAGGCCATTGTGTTTTGCAAGAATCAGAGAAGTCAGAGGCCCTAATACCATATAGGCCCCTTGAGTAGCGGCAGTAGCGAGTCTCCCCAGAATCCCCAGAACCTGTGACCCATGTGTTACCAGAGCAGCAGACTTGTCGTAGAGTCGTGGACTCGTAGTCGTAGCGTCGTAGACTGAGAAGGTCAAGCGCGACCATGACATCATTGCCTGTATATACGCAAAGCCAGCTGCGCTCGGCTTTCGCCTTTGGGAGGTGCGATGCGACTCACATTTTGCGACGAGACTGTGGTGAGATGCCATGCGAGTCTGCCGAGAATACAGAAGCAGAAGTATGCACATGTGATCATATGGGGCCACGTGCAAGAAACAAGGACAATTATCATTAGCCGATCATTAGCCACCGTTGTGCCGTAGTGCCGTAGTGTAGATTCGGCGTATATTTTGATTCAGACTAGCAGCGAGGCAGCTCCGGCAGTGGCTCTGGCTAGGTGCTAGCTCGAGCGAGAGGCCCAGGGACCTGTGAGTCTTCCCCGGAAAGTATAGTAACATATAGTGAAAAGTAGTATAGTAAGATTCCACAGCTGTAGATGCTGTTCAGGTGCCAGCTGTGGTTGTGGGAAGTTTGGGTATGCAGTGTAGCGGCGTAGACAAAGGCATAGACTCAGATTGGGCATAGGCGTAGATTTGGACGGATTGCTTGGATGCCGGCCGCAGCTTTCACTGTAGACTGTACTTGTGCGCTTGTGGGAAGCTTGCGTCTTGAGAGGCGGTTTAAAAGTTCATTTGAGTCAGTTGAGGCTTGGGTCATGAGCCTGGAAAGGCCGTGGCCATAGCGGCTTCAGTCACCAATCACCAGATTCGACCAGTGACCAGGGTGTCATCAGATCCGAGGAAAATGTGAGGCGTGTGATTTTCTGGCGGCTGGCAGTTGTGCACGGACCGAATGTGACATGTGACGCGACACATTCTATTCTATAGACTCTTATGAGTTCTAGGTCCGGAGTCTAGAGTCCTGTCGTGTAGAGTGCAGAAGTGTAGAAAACAAAGGGACCAGATTCGTTTGCGGGATCCCGATTCTCGATCTGCAATCCAGGCTCGATTCGCAAATTTCGCTGATTCCATGACGACATGACGACGACACTGACTTAAGCTCGCTCACGTCCAAGCCCTAACGGTCATTGTTCGGCTTGCTTATTTGCACTGCGCTCTGCCGCCTCGTGTCGTTGCGCACGCATGCCGGCCTTTGTGACGTTGCAGCCTTTGCGGCTATGTGTTCATGACTGCATGTGACCTCTGACATGTAAGAAGTGTGACAGCAGCATGCGCACATTCGCACGGGCCGCAAGGGAACACTATTCACTATGACTATATAGTTAGTATAGTTACTAGTCATGTTGTCATTATGTCAAGTTGGAGTCTCGGCAGGCACCCACAGCAGCGTTTGGCGGATATCGGCAGTGCTTCATTCACCATTCTATGCCTCTATGCCTCTATGCCTTTTCTTCCAATTTTGTTGCGATGTCTATTCGTCTATTCGGGTCTATTCGACTCCCGTTCAATCCTATTCTAGTCTATTCTAGTCCTTTCCATTCGATTCGATTCTGTTCTATGCAAATCTATTCTAGTCGATTTTTCTTCTATCTGATTCTATCAATGGTTGCAAGTTGCAACCTTGTGGTGGTGGTACTTATATATATATATATATATATATATATATATATATACATATATACATATATATACATATATATGTATATATATATATATATACATATATATGTATCTATATATATATACACATATATATACATATATATATATATATATATATATATGCATGGCCCTTTGTGCTTCTATTTTTTGCCTATTTTGATTCTATTTTTCAATCATTTTTTAACTATTTTTTTTGTATTTATTTCTTATTTTTTGTCAATTTCATTTCGATTTAAGACGGCCTTTTGTGCTTCTATTTTTTTTTCATTTTTGGATCCATTTTATTTTCATTTTTTACCTATTTTACTTAGACCAACATAAACCAGACTTAGATCGGAATTCAGCCTCATAACCCTAAATAGACTTTATGTCTTATTCCGCTTGGTCCGCGCTTCGCCTTCAAGCAGCTTGGTGGTGCATGAAGGCCCTCTTGAACGGAACCGCATCTAATGTACCCCAAGGCCCCATAGTAGTTCCTTTTTGAGGTTACCTTATAGGATTCTAAATATGAACCCCAAAAGGGAACTACTTTGGTGCCTTAGGGTAGCCCCCCTGATGAATCAGCTCCTGCCACCAAAAAAGACCGCCCTCGATCCTGTTGTCATAGTCCTTGAGGCTGCGGTGTATAGTTGTCAAAATTCGGGTCGCTTTTTGATTACCCTAAATAATAGGTGCCGTATTATAATCGGGACCCAAAAAGGGACCATAATTTTGACAACCACCCATATGTAGGGGAGACGCTTCTCTCTGTCATGTCGCAAAACCTTCGACCCTAAACCCCATAACCCCTAAACCCTGACGCACCCTTGTCGATCCCTTGTAGGAGCCCAGAAAGTTCTTTGAAGGGAGCCCTAACCCCTGAACTCTACTTGGAGATTCATGAGTAGTATAAGTGGGGGTATAAGTAGGGTAATTATACATAGAACTCATATTAGGGGACTTATAACCCTACTTGTTACTAGCCATGAACCTCCAAGTAGGCCCATAGCGCCCATGTGACTGGATCCGAGGCTCGAGCTCTTCCCTTTGCCGAAGGCATGCCCTGGTCAGCAGAGATGGAATGGGTTTAGAGATGGAGTGTGTTTAGGGCTTGGTGTTTGGGGTTTAGGGCTTAAGGTTTAGGGTTTAGTGTGTAGGGTTCAAGATCAAGGGCTTTAGGGCTTAAGTTTTAGGGTTTAGGGTTCCTTTAGAGGAGCTATAAGGGTTCCTACAACGGATCTGCAAGGGTACTTAAATCCGAGTTCAGGGGTTACGCAGGGTTTTTTGAGAGTAATTAAGCTGGGGGTTTCGAGTTCAGGCTTTGCGGTGGGCTCGGGTCAAACATTTTCGTACATCCTACAGCTACAGCTCTGTCATGTGCGGGCTCTAGAGGAAGATCTTCTTTATGTAGTTCTCCAGACCCCGTTTTTTTCGGCCCATTAACCCTAGACCCCATACTCCAAACCCTGGGCCCCAAAGTGTCAGTCCATCATACTGCTGATGGGCAAAATCCTGCATTACCCTTTATAAGGAATATACCATAGTTCCCATAGTTTAGAGTCCTTAGGGTATACCATAGTTCCCATAGTTTGGAGTCCTTAGGGTATACCATAGTTCCCATAGTTTAGAGTCCTTAGGGTATACCATAGTTCCCATAGTTTGGAGTCCTTAGGGTATACCATAGTTCCAATAGTTTAGAGTCCTTAGGGTATACCATAGTTCCCATAGTTTGGAGTCCTTAGGGTATACCATAGTTCCCATAGTTTAGAGTCCTTAGGGTATACCATAGTTCCCATAGTTTGGAGTCCTTAGGGTATACCATAGTTCCCATAGTTTGGAGTCCTTAGGGTATACCATAGTTCCCATAGTTTGGAGTCCTTAGGGTATACCATAGTTCCCATAGTTTAGAGTCCTTAGGGTAACCATAGTTTCCCCATAGTTTTTGGAGTTTCTTTAGGTTATACAAGTTTCCCCAGAAGTTTAGAGTCCTTAGGGTATACCATAGTTCCCATAGTTTGGAGTCCTTAGGGTATACCATAGTTCCCATAGTTTGGAGTCCTTAGGGTATACCATAGTTCCCATAGTTTGGAGTCCTTAGGGTATACCATAGTTCCCATAGTTTGGAGTCCTTAGGGTATACCATAGTTCCCAT